TGGAAGCTGAGAACTGGCGACTTTGTAGTGCAACTTTAGTACGCGGATGAGTCATCTCTCGCGGCTGAGTCATCTCTCGTGGCTGCTCTGGCGCCGCTGCAGCTGAGTCATGTCTCCCGACCACCCGGCTCTCTTGAGAGGTTGACACACACACACAGAGACCCACGCACTGCCTCAACTTACTCGGACACACACACACACACAGAGACTCATACACACACAGACATAGATGCACACACACAGAGACCCACACACTGCCTCAACTCGCTCGACTTAACACTTCACACTGAACACTTAACAGATAACTCACACTCTGACTTCCTACGTGATGAAAAATGCTTTCGGGCCACTCGTCGTCTAGTGTTGGAAACAAGAACTCTTTTTTGGTGCATTTTGGATTCTACTTTGCTATCTGTGGTCTATGCTGGCATAAATATTTCCTTGCAGTCTGCAATAGTTAGAACCAAGATTGAAGAGTTTTAAACAACTCTCATGTGAGAGCCAACAAGCGAACAAAACTGAAAACAATCCCACTGGTGTTTGCAATCCATAATTGGAGCAACAACGCAAACTGCAGAGCTAATTTGATCAATGTTTTTGATCGTACTTATCTACATAGTTCAGAGACCTTCCTCAAGCACCAAGTCATACGGATGCTTCCCTCACTCAACAACAATCTCTGATGCTCATATCAAAATCCAGGCACTAATCTACATTATGCAAGTCGACTGATACTGAACGACGCTGATCTGTTCTAATCATGCGTCATGTTGAGACCGGGCTTCTGCTCGTACCGCTTGCGCCACTTGTTGCCAAGCAGCTCGCGCCACCCTCCATCCAAAACCAGCACCTGCCGCACCGGCCGCACGGGCGCTGCCCTTTCGGGCGCCAGCTCAGAAGCCTCGAAAGCAGCAAAGCCGTGTTCAGCGCATGCGATTTCCGGACTTATCAAAAACACAAAGGAAAACCATCGATTCGGAACCATTTCAAGCTCAGAAACACATCGTCTGAAAAATCTGTGTTTTCCGAATCGTCTCCGTGGTTGTGAAATGCAACGCGTTAGCCAGGTGTTGTGATATGCTTTCCCAAACTGGTCCAAGTGCTGGGCTTGGACTGCATTTTCACCTTAGATCAACCATCTAAACATGACACAAGACATCAATATCGATATTAATATATACGTCGTATTGAATACCGATGTGGCATCGCTTCGGATCTCCTGGGGCCTTGGCTTGGAAAAAGAACCACGGTCCCCTCCATGTCCTCATCGATGATCTGCAGAAGCCTCCGATCTTTTTCGATCGTGGTGAACAAAATTTCAAGCGTATGATTGGAGCCTGGCATCGTGTTCTTCCACTCCCCAGCACAGCAGCTCTGCCTGCAAGCAAATCATCTTTTGCCATTACGCTGCACCTACTGGAGACCTAACGCTTGGTCGTGGTGCTGCAAAAACCTCCCGGAATGGTGTCAGTTGGCGTTAAGCACCACAAGAAGAAGCAAACAAAACATTCCAGCAAAGTAACCCATTGAAAAGATATTGAATACAACTCGAGATCTAGAATGCAGCTGGCTGAGCATACCCACATGTGGATTCTCGACAGTCGGTCGAACTAGAAAATTCAGTGATGAAAGACTTGATCGTTCGTCTTTTTCCGAGACACTTTTGGAATGTTTGGAAATGGACTAGTAACAAGGGCATCGCTACTGGTAGCAAGGGCATTACTACTGGTAGCTAGAAGCTACTAGGTTGGAGGCCATTTCTACTAGTAGCTATAGAAGCTACTACGAGTAGTAACCAGCGAATTTGCTTTCCACCGATTTGCTTTCCACTCTCGGACTCTCGCGCCCCGAAGTGTGCCAAAAGCTTCGCAGTGTTTGAAGCTTTCCCTTGGTGAGAGAGACGTAGATCACTACAGAGTTCTTGTCGTATGTGATGCGGCACGATGACCCGTTTTGAACATTTGGATGCATTCCACCGTGAAGAACTTGCAGCCGAGAGAGGTAGTAGATTTGAAGGGTGATTGTCAGTGATAGGTGGCTAATTCCGTTTTGCAACAAACACGCGGAGTCGGGCTCAAACGTTGCCCGATCTCCAGGTGATGCAGGAGGACGACAACTCGCAAACGAAGAATCAACCTTAGAGCACTTGCTTTCAGGAGGCTGACTTCGAAACAGCTGTGCAAGTCTGTGGATGCAACGGGTACTGCAGCAGGTATGTACTAGTACATGACAGAATAGGTATATTCTGAATGAAATTTTCGGTCTCAACGGCCAAAAAATACATGGTAAAGCCGAGCCAACAAGCTCGGCCGTCTAAACTTGGGCAATTGCTTCGGCAAACCTTCGCAACAGCAATGCCGCCTGGATCACATCGCACTGAGAAGGCCATATGTGGAGCATCTGAACACCACACTGTTCCTTTTCAAGCAGTCGACCCTGGCAGAACAAGATGGTGCCCACGAACCCGAATGCAAGCACGATCGAGAAACTACATATGTCCAAGTGACACTCTTGTAGGACACTCTTGTGGGACACTGTTGTCGCTCACCAGCGACATGCCGCGTTTACACCAGCATGTTTAGCGCTCCCCAGTGGCACGGCGCATCGCAAACGTACTTTCCACCAAGGCCGCGCAAATCCGCATGCCCTTGCGACATCACGGACGTAATTCCGCCACACGGTCCGCCACATACTAGAAGCAAACATATCACATCATCCGCCACACTGTAGAAGCAAACATATCACATGATACCTCCAATCATCCCGCTCGCCAGCGACACGCCGCGTTTACATGCATGTTTTGCGCTCCCCAGTGGCACTTGTGGGGCACTCTTGTGGGACATTCTTCTAATACACTCTTGTGGGCCACTTTTTAGGAAACTCTTGTGGGAGACTCTTACGGGACACTCTTGTGGGACACTCTTGTGGGTCACTCTTGTAGGAAACTCTTGTGGGACACTCTTACGGCTCTTATGGGACACTCTTGTGGGACTCTTTTGTCACTCTACAAACTGCCCCCTTCTGAGTCCAGCTCCAAAAGTGAAGCGCCAAGTCTCCAAAACGAGCGTTTCGTACGAGACTTCCTCAAAGTCTCCAAAACGAGCGCTTCGTACGAGACGTCCTCAAAGTCTCCAAAACGAGCATTTCGTGCGAGACTTCCTCCAAAAGTGAAGCGCCAAGTCTCTAAAACGAGCGCTTCGTACGAGACTTCCTGAGATGCCTAAGTCTCCAAAGCCAGCGCTTCGTACGAGACTTCATCCAAAAGTCAGGAGTCAAGCTCTCCAAAACGAGCGCTTTGTACGAGACTTCCTCCAAAAGTCACAAGCGGAAAGACCCATCGGAGCACACACGTCAATCAGCCCTGCCAAGCAGTTTCGCGATCCAGCCCCTCCAAGCAACGATGTTTCCTTGCTATTTCACACGAATCTGACACATCACGCTTCTATGCCAAACTGACTCCAACACCTTCCCCCAATGGCAGCGGCCTTGGCATCCTCATGCGGACGGCGCGGTCGGTTGCAAACGGTTTTGCGAACGGTTGAGGACGGTTTCGGACGCTGAGACAACGGGTCGCGAACAAGGCTCTACCCCCAGACCCCCAGAGTCAAACGGGAACCCTTCGCTACGCATTCGGAAAACAGCAATTCTCTATGCCATGCCTCATCAGCCAACAGTGCGGGCACTTGCCGCCAGGTGATTCCAAAAAGGCCTGCCAATGAATGACTTGAGGCTGGAATGAATTGGGTACGTCTGCAACATGCACGACTAACGCAAGACCCATCACGCCGTGCGCACAATGATGATTGCTTGCAGCCCTCAATCCGGATACACACATTCACATCAGTCGTTTCAAGCAAAATTGCAGTGTGATCTTTTGTCCACTGCCTTCAAAGCACGACGACTATCCACACCCTAAAGCCAACTTGCATGTCTTTGCCCTTTCGTCTAAGTGCCGACTGTGGATCAAGTCGAGAACTCTTTATCATGTCGTTTGTCGCCTGATAATTCGCCCAAGCTTTGGCACTGCGGACTTTCTCTCGATCTGCCCATTCTCTCGATCAACCCGCCACTGTGGTGAGAGAGTGCTTGGTGAGCCGAGGTGAATCTGGATGTGACGTGCGGATACGTGTGGAATGAAAGTGAATCGGAAAGTCAATCCTCCGTGTTCTTTCTCCTGAAACCAACAAATCAACGACCCACTCCGGCATGCTAGGCATTTGTAGACCTTTCAGCAGGATGTTGCAAGTGCCAGAATTGCAACGGGACCAGGTGAATGTGTACTCATCCTTGGTGAGTTTTGGACATCGGGACACAGCTGAAATCAACATGGTGGAATAAGGGGATGCAATGGATTTCCTTCAGCCACACAAAGGTTACCAGCGCAAATTGCACCAATTTCACGGAGGGGTAAACCAACGATCATCATACAGCCCTCCAAGGATCAAGCTTGTTTGAGACGCACGGGCAAAAGCAAAGGCCTTGAGGCACAGCCGAGCACAGTTCCTGTGAAGCCTCACAGTGATGGAAACAAGTACATTAAAGATAAGGATGAATGAATCACTGCTGCAACAAAAACATGTATTGAAACCTGTGCTGTACATCCCTTTCATGTGGTTTGTGTCCTGAGCTCCAGTCTATTTCATGCTTTCGACATGCTTTGCCATCTTGGTGTTTCAGGGAACATCCAGGAACCAAATCGTTAGTGTGAGCGCTTCTTCAAGGAAGCTCTCCCCCGTCAGGGAGGAGCTTGCTTGAAGCGTGAGCTATCCTGCATCCTAGCTAAGCTAGTAGCTTACCTATTTGTTTAATTAAATAGGCGCCTACTTAATTAAGTGGGGAGGCGGGGCCTCGGGCTAAAAAAGGAGCTTAATGAAGTAGTCCACCTCACAGGTGATCTCAGACCTATACGGGTGAAGGGCATACAGCATACCTCCCGCGTACGCGGCCGAACCACGGCCATTCTTAAGAACCGTCATGTAAGACTCTCTAGACTCTAGCATCAAAAAATAAGCATGGGCCCTGCCTCTAGGGGGAGGCTTTGCTCAGCTTGATTGGCCTACGGTCGGGGCTTGTGTTACGCAGTTTTCTTAAACAAGAAACCAGACTCTCCTTGGAGGGAAAGTAAATTACTCAGAGTCTCGCGACCCAGAAAAGATCTGATGGAACGCCAAAAAGACTACTCATCTAGACTCTTTCAGACTCTCTGACTCTGACTCTGGTTTCCCACCCAAGTTTCTTATCCAAACCGTCCGATTAAGAAAATGTCCAGAGTCCAGAGCTGTACATGTCCGCAGCAATTTGGTGGAATGCAAAGAACATCACGGCACCAATCTGACGAAAAATAAAAAGTAGCGTCCTTTGCTCCTAGTAGTAAGGCCAGGAGCCCCTAAAGTAGCGTCCTTGCTCCTAGTAGCGATGCCAGGAGCCCCTAGTAGCGTCCTTGCTCCTAGTTATTCCAGACTTACCAGACTTGGTGATTGCACCTTCGCACCCTCACCGATTGACCACAGAACGAGAACGACAAGAACCGCACACGAGTCATTGTCACCTCACCTCCATGTTCGTTGCACAGCAAGCCGCCACATGAGACACCAAACTCCGTTTTAGGAACGAAACCCTCATACTTTCAAACACCGGGTTCCCATGGGTTCCCTGTAATGGACGGAACATCTTTGTGACACTTCGCACGTATCTCCGTCGAAACGGTATGTGCATTCGGTCACAAAACGGAGAAACAAACTGTCTGAGTTCCCAGAGGTCTCAGGCTCGCCCCGCCTTACTTGAGCCAAAAGGAAACTTCACTCGTCATGTTTTTCGGAGTGTGAGCCTTCATTTTGTTGTGGCTTTGACGTGCGCTTTGACCCTACCTGCTTGCTACTTAGGCGCATCTGGTCTGATTCAGTTCTCATCCTTCTATACATCGAAGCAACTCTGGATGGTGTCCGTTTTGTGATTTAATGCAACACACACACAGAGATCGCACAACACCGTTTGTTCAAATCCCAGGTTCTAGCATACCTGAAAGGAAACTTCAAACATACGGGCGCACTGGCACATGCTACTACAGTATCTCTGTAGACTATACCAGGAAACTCGGTTTGACCAGTTTGACAACATGTTTAGATTCAAGTTTTTGAACTTGCGCCTTGGTGATTGGATACAGCTGGGCTGAAATCTTGATACCAACGAGCGAAGCTGCTACAAGGTCCTCTTTCTTCGCGGCTTTTGGACCCTCAGCGGTGTGTGAGTCTCACAAAGAGTCCTCCAAGTAGTGCGGAGGCCACCGCGACCACCAGAAGCTTCAATGGATCCTCGGGCTGCTCTGGTGAGCGGTGACTGTGTAAGCTCTTTGGCTGCTTTCTTCCTTTGTTTCGGCTTTTGAGAGCACGCGTTTGTTTGCTCGGCGGAATGCGTGCCTCTTGGAGAATGCAATGAAGAGGTGGAGTTGAAGATTTGATGTCACATTATATAACGGTCTATATATGGAGGCCATCGCTCTTAGGTTGGAGGCCAATCCTATTTGAATTTATAGTTGACCTTTAGATCCTTTAACGTGATTTGAAGAATGGTGGCAATGCACAGCCACGGCATTGAAGCCATCTATATACAGCCAGGTATTGATTCGCACGATACTTGGAAATTGGGAATCTGCTGCAAAATGTCTTTTGGGGATACAGCAACATGATAAAACATTGAAAGCCTTTTGCCTCATCAGGGCATTCGGACATATTTGTCTTTGTAGTTGGTATAATATAGTAAGCAGTCTGTAAAATGTTTACTTAGCAAGCCTACTACTACAAAACCTTCATGGTCTCTTGGGCTCAACTTAGAACACCATCAAAAAACCATACACACACAATTTCGCACAAACTATGAATTAGGGGGTTCCAACCACCCCACTGACCAACTGCTTTTATAGAACCTAAACATGGCCATGCTTACTATAACCAGGGTCAACCCCCAACCATCAAAACCTCCAAACCAGTTTTGGTTCGCTATCTTTGACGGTTTTGGGTGCCCGCGGCAAGGACGAGCTGATGGACTTTGCAGCAGTTCAGTAGATGTTGTCGCGCGTAAAACACTCTGTTGCACATTTTGCCAGAATAAGGAGCCCTCCAGCCATTCCAGAAATCACTTGGCACCGAGTTACATCCTTTGTCATCTTTGCCACTGGACTACCAGGAGGGCTGGCAACCTGGAGCGTGCTGAAGGCACCACTAAAGATCGGCAAAATAAGTGTCACAAGGTTGGAGGCCATGTCTACTAGGTTGGAGGCCATCGCTACTAGGTTTATAAGGGCCTTTTTGCTATTAGGTTGGAAGCCATTTCTATTGACTTTGGGTTGCTGAAAGGCTCTTCACGCGTTCTGCATTCATAGCCTCTTTGTGTGACTGCTTCGTTTTCGCACTCGCCCCACCCATCTCGCAGTCGCCGTGCCCTTTCGCACAGCACCGCGGCACCTGCCCTGTCAAAGCAGGCGGAGCACCATCTTCATCATCCTCATCGGCCATCAATTGGCGCCACCAGTCCTGAATCTGACAGTGAGATTGATCTCTTTAGCTTAGAGATTTCATGGATGATTGCCCGATGACCTTCCCTTGATTTTAGTTGCAAAGGCGTCCAAATTAGAGTAGTCTGGGTTTAACTGGACCTTGATTAAACTTGGAGTGGATAGAGGTTATGAAAGACTTCCTATACAGCAATTGCACGCACATGCTTTGTTCTGGGGCGGTCCCAGTTTCTTTGTGGGTCAGGCCTTCAGCATGCCTTATGAAAGGCTGCATGACTCTTCTGGTGGTGGACAGTGATTCTGTCTCAAGCCAAACTGAGGACTTCTTTCACCTTTGGTTGGACGGATCCATCTTGTCACTCCCAAGACCAACTTCACCAAACCCTCTAACGTGATGCAACATGACAGTTAAGCTTGCTGCGCTTGCCGTTTCCAACTGTAAACAAAGTCAAATGAGCGACCCCCACATGGAACACATTGACATAGCGGATATGATGAACGCATTCATTCCGAGTGCTTTCTACATGATCCTTCGGGACATGCTTTGATACACGGTGGGGATCTGGCTTCACTGTCAGGCCAAAACAAGTGGCTTTGAAGCATGATGATAAGGAGGAGGAGGATGAGGAGGAGGAGGATGAGGAGAAGGAGGAGGAGGAGGAGGAGGATGTTGTGGATGTTGTGACCCCGATACAACGTTTGTCGACAAGGAGTCCATGGTCTTCTCTGTCTGCGCAATGGACATCAGCGGCTTCATGCAGGAACTCAAGCTCCAGAAAAGATCCGGATGCTCAAACTCCTCCGGATCAGTAGAAAGCAAAGGGCAAAACCCTCGACTCATCAATTTCCGTTGGAGCTTTGGTTAGAAGTGTGTTCCTCAACCGGAGTACGCGCGGTTTTTCAACTCTTGGGTACCTCCTAATCCCCGATGTATCGAGGAGTCCAATCCCCAGTTTCAAATCAAAACAACTAGACTCATTGGGCTCTGCACCGTTTCGCGCCTGCTGGGAGAGCATGAGCTTAATGCCTGGGCTTCGTTTCGTGGATCCACTGAGGTGCGATGCACAATGCGGAATATTCAACTCTCAATGACGCGTTGAAGGTGCTCTCTGAAAGTCTGCCTTTTAGGTCCTTCCAGGTCTCAACCGGTGTACCATGAACCTGTACCACTGGCGTTGAACGGGGCTCCTTGGTTTTTGTGCTCCAGGTGGCGATGTCGCTCCTTGGGAGCCGCAAAGCAAGCGGGGCAGTTGTCGGCAATCACCGGCAGCCTGCGAGGGCCCGCATCCCTGAAGAGTCGTGCTTTGCTTTAGTATTCACCGTCTTATCTCAGCTTTAGTCACGCTGTACTGCTCCGCTAAACAAACAACATATGAAACACATTTTACACCAAAAGCAGTGCCCTTAAAGAAAAAGGTATCGTGATCGTCTCCACACCTACGTTGCTTAGTTCCATGTTACCATTTTGAATAGACACCGCTTTGAACAAATTTTTGAACGGTGAAGAGTCGATCTGAATTCGAGAAGAAAACAGACAACAAAAACGTACAGTTTGTACGAGTCGACGTATCTCCGAGCCGAGTCCGTCCTGTTCTCTTTGGCAAAGTTTGCCAAAGTCTTCTCCCGGACGTTCACCAAGGGCCGACAAACCCGCAAGTCCTTGGCAGCCACCGCGTAGTTCGCCTCGAAAAAGTGTCTCGCATTCGCCCAAAACCGTAGTAACAAGAAGCTACTAGTAGCAAAGGGCATCGCTACAAGGAGCAAAGGACGCTACTAGTAACAAGTTGCATATGCTATCGCAGTCTCACCTTCATGGTTCGAAGAGCGCCGTTCCGAAAGGCCGACATGAGAAAGGACTCGGCAAAGTCATCCAAGTGCCTCAACCGGATTATTCTGCATGTATTTGCAAAATTCTTACTTCACGTTTCAAAACATGTTTTTCAAATATGCTCCGAGGTATTCCGCTCTCGCTGAGCTCAAATTCTTCAGCCAAAGCACTGTCCCAAACAAAGGACCTCAAAGTGGAATGGGAGATTCTGTGGGTCCGTTGCAATTGCAATCTTACAAAGCATGACAAATCCATTTAGAGAGCCCAAGTATTGACCTGATTTGACACTTCCTGGTTGCATGAATCGGATGTTGATCTTAACAAGCACATTCTCTGTCCGGGCCATGGCAGCCGATTCGTTCAACCCGGATCAACCGACGTCAAAGACCTTGGTTGGTGTTGGTCCATTCTGTGCCCCTACACCCCTAAGACAGGTTGTTGAAGCAGATCTTTCAACATCCAAAGAACTTCTTGATGTCAAGACATCTTTGTCTTGAAACCGCAACAGGACTATTTCAAATCCGACGCATTGTGGACGCGTGAACATGCTCAGCCAGGCATTAGAACATGAACTTTCAGAAGCCAAGCAGCGTTGTACTTGTTCTCTCTCATGCAAGTATACCTTGAATTCTTGAAATTATTCACAGGCTTCCATGGCATGTTGGTGAAGACCGCTTAGAGAACACCTCTGTTCTTTCAGACCTGATGACTCTGTAGCCTCATTCAAAGAAAACGAAAAACAAGGGTATGCAGGTAAAAATACCTGCCAAAAATCAAACCTCACTCCACCTCAACAGCTGGCATCACTTCACCAACTTGCAGCAAATCTTCACGTTGTGCCTTTCAACGATACAGAGCTGGTACTGTCATCCCTATTCTTCATGTACGACTGAGGAAACAGTCGAGACTGGCAATTGTGTGAAATGGGTCCAACACATTTGTTCCAGGTCAAACCCTCTCTGGAAACACTCACAAGAGATGGCACACAAAAGTGAGGAGTGGCCAAGTGGCCTACAGTGCAAGCAAGTTCCGTGTATCAAGATTCTGCTTTGTTCCCTCGCTCGTGATCCATACCACCCACGCATTGGACATCCACCAAGTCCGAGTCCACAAGGGTTGTCTGACTGTGTTGCTTCGGGCGTACACTGCTGATATCCAAGTCACAACATTCCTCGTTTCATCCTCGCGCAGAAGGAACCTCAGGAAAGGTGGAGCAGAAAACATCGTGCCTCTTTGAACGTGACGCATTGCGCTGCTGGTTTCTGGACTAAAACTGCAAACGACCCTGGAGAACGTGTTGAAAGGACTAGCAAGGTCGAGCAGTTATAGCAAATAGGAGTCTGAACACCTCCACTCTCTGAAATCAAGAGTCGAGAGAAAGCCGAGGTGCAAATGGAGGGCTTCTTGGGGTCCAAATGACACTTCGCCATCTCAATGAGAGGCTTCGACAAAAA